AATGATTGGCTAAGAAACATTCCCTCAAACTGTTTAACTTGAGAAAGCTATAAATATCCTGGGCAAAGCGTGTCCCTATATCGAGCTGTTAGAGCAGTACAGTAAACTGCTGATGTCTGTGTCCCTGCTGGTGTGTGAAGTATTCACTTAATGTGAGTCTCTCGGCTCTGTTGCCAATAGCACATTGCCAAAATATCCAGAGACAGCACTATGTGTACTTTCAGCAAATTTATGTACTAAACCTTTTATCAAAATAAAACTTCTGGGAGGTAAATTCTTTCAAAATTCAGTATTTTGAAAGTACAGTAATGTACTCTTGTTTAACAAAATTGTTTTTCAATCAGGGGAGACATGGGAGGTTTGTTTCATCAAATGAAATTGATATGGAAGTAATTTTTGCAAATTACACTGGAAAACAGCAGATGGAAGTTCAGAGGGACCCATTTTGCATATATTCTATGCCATTTATTGCGTAAAAAGTACAAATAGTATCTAAGCATTTTAGATTAGATACTTATTTTATTTGATTTAATCCTAGTTAGGACTCTTTAACATCATACAGGTGAAAAGTCACATGGGGGTGGTTGTGCAGCCACATCGTTATGATTGGCCGATTGACAGGTGGTCTGCAGATCTGCATAAATGGGTCAGACCAATGGATGTACATTACAGACAATTACACAAAGTACTTAACTTAGTAAAAAAAAAACTTAAAGGAGACATATTATGCTCCTTTTTACAATATGTAATATAAGTCTCTGGTGTCCCCAGAATGTCTCTGTGAAGTTTCAGCTCAAAATACTCCACAGATCATTTATTATATCATTTTGAAAATGCCTAATTTGAGTGGAAGCAGAAACACGCTGTTTTTGGGCCTCTCTCTTTAAATGCAAATGAGCTGCTGCTCCCCGTCCCCTTTTCCAGAATAGAGCTGTGCCATTACAGCTCGTACCTGCTAAATTTAAACCATATGAGTTTAAACTTCTGATATACAGTTTTCTGAGAGCACACATCCGAAGCACACGTACAGAAAGCGGCGACCACACAGCATGTGAGTACTTAATTAAGTTCTCATTCACACACAAGTTTACGTTAAAAACAAACTTACAGATTAAGGGGCTGTAATATTATAATGAGATCCCTTTGCCACGTCACCAAGGGAGCGAAATCAGACGCGCTAGTTTTCTCAGACGCTTGCAGAAAAAGGTTTCCCAAAACAAAGTTACTGGGTTAATCTTTCCTGATAATGTTTCCTTGGTTGGTAGATGCACTGGGGACCTGATTATAGCACTTAAAACCTGGAAAAGTCAGATTTTCATGATATGTCAACTTTAAAAAAGCAACACTAAATGTGTTCTTTATTGTATTGTGGTAGTTTTTGAGCTGTGTAAAAACGTGTTTAAAAAAATGATTTAATTTTAGTGGAGTAATGATTGGAGAAGCCCAGCATACTGTACGGCAACACAGAAATTTAGATTTTAAGCTCTTTTTTATGAAACATATTCATGGCTGAATTTTCACAATAACATCAATAAGATAAATTTAGAAAATAGATAGAGTTATGCAGACATTGATAAATGGTGATGTACAAAAATATACTATTTGCTGTATGCCAATGATAGTATAAGATAAAAAAAAGCCTTTTTTATGTTAAATAATGTTAAAATAACCCAGAAACTGTATCTATCTCACATTGGATTAAATCAAACCACTGCTCTCGTTGTTATTATAATTAAAAAACCATCAGATATTTGCATATAGCACTCCATCCACAGGATTTAATTTTCATGCTTTTCAGCACCAGACGATTCACCTCTGTTTGCATCGTCCGGCAAGTTCATTATTCTAGATTTGTTTGCACTATCAGAGCTAATGCGTCTCTTTGATGTGAACTCCCTCAGGCTGCCTATAGACCCTCATGGCATTAGACTGCTTCCTAGCGTCCTGTCAAAGAGGGCCAGCTTCACCATCAGTCTCTTCCAGATGATCAATTACTCCACCGCTTACCTGCACTGTGACCTGAGCGTGTGTTTGAGGAACCATTCTGAGTGCGAGAAGGTGAGTCTGAACCTGGCCTCACAGTTGAAAACTTGGGGATCATTTATCACCGTTGAAGAGGTCTCAATATTTCCCCTGAAAGATTTTCTACTTTTCATTACTCTCCCTCGTTTGATGACAGCGTCTGCAGTTTTTAAATAAATGATCTTCCCCGGCTTGTTACTCTGTTGCTGCGATTCGTAGGATAACAGAATAACTCGTCGAGCCTGTAAACAAGTTGAAAGTATGCAGAAGTTCAGGGGATTTATTTTGTCCCCGTATAATGGCTTGATTTCAGGATGATGATATTATTGGTTATCCATTTATCATCTCAGCAGTGCGTTCAGAGTCGAAATGCGCATCCCAGAGAGGAAGCAGGGGCCATCTTCAGCAGCACAGGAAACCGCATTTCTTTCGGCCCTGTTTTGAAAGAAGCAGACAATTCACCATTCTCTGAAACAGCAGGTAACTTGTTACCAAGTTGTTCTGGTGGGATAATAAAACAAACTTATGGAAAAATATTTCAGCCGAACTGATTTGGTTTGTTAATGCTGTACAGATGACACTGAAGCCGTGGTGGTGATTATCAGCTCAGTGGCCGGCTGTTTGCTGGCGTGTTTGGCTCTCTTTCTTGTCTGGATGGCAAACAGACGTTGTCTGCAAAGGTCTGCCTACTGCTTGTCCAGGGCCCTTTGTGAATGCTAACAGAACAGAGCTCACTGCAAACGAGCCAACCGGACTGAAATCTGCATTGAGCATTCAATCATTATCTGACAGTTTTTGAATTGCTCATCATTATGTTTAGTTAGCTGCACTGGGAAGCTGATGAAACTTAACATTGTTAAAAGAGGCCCAAAGTGCTCTTGAGTACGCGATTATTCTATCATAGTGCCATGCTTTGAATGTTACAATAGAGATGTAAAAAATGCAAGCCAGTCAGCCATTTCATTGTGAACACTTATACATGCTAAGTAAATGTGTAAATAATGTAAAAAGACAGCTGTTTAAAGGAATAATTCATACAACAGCTTGCCCTCATGTTGTTCCAAAACCTTTCTTTCCTCTGCGTAAAGGTGCAGTCAGATTTACCTTGGTTCCGCAAATTTTCACCAAAAAAATTCTATAATTTCTGTGAATTCCATGTGAGAGTAAAAGTTTTCGCAATGGGTTCAAGTTGGTCACACAGACTGTCTAATAGTAAGCTTGGTTTGAAAGTGACTTCTGTGTGAGTTGTACTGTATACATTGCCACACTATTGACAGTTTACTGTGACAGTAGACACTACAGGCAAAAACACTCATACAGGCAACACTATTTTGAGATTTTGGTATTTCTCAAAATATCTCAAAAGTACTTTTTTCAGACTAGTAGAAGGAAAACATCCTAAATACACTTTTAAGTGCTTCTTTTATAGAACTTTATCTCTTTGTGTTTGTAGATTTCAGGCACAAATCATATCTTTAAAGGCCGTTTTCTCAAAATGTGATTTTTCTCTGAGTCAAAAATCACTTACATACACCATCTATATTTTATAGGTTTTTACAGAGGGGTTTGTTCATAAATAATTTGCCTGGTTTTATACAACATTTTATGTTTTATGTCCTCCTTTGCATAATTAAACATACCATTTCAGAAGACATGTAATACAAAAAAACTTTGTAATTCCTAATGTAATCAATCAACTAGGTAAAACAAAATACATTTTGAAGAATAATTGTGAAAGTTAATGGAGTCCAAAACAAGATTCATTGTATGGATAAACAAGAAAAATAAGATATTTCTCAAAATATCCTCTTTGGTGTTTCACAGAAGAAGAAAAGTAATTCAGGTTTGGAGCAACATGAGGGTTATTAAACAATGACAGAATTTTCATTCTTGGGTTTTGGGTTGCTCATCCTAACATTCCCTAGTTTCTTTGCTGCTTTGAGATGTACCATTCTTTAATGTAGGATGTACTGATGTCAAAGATATACATGAATGCAAAGATATACATGAATGCTTCCCTTTATGTATCACTACCCCAGCGCTCTCGAAGATTAGACATGTTGTTCAGCTACTTATTAGGTTTCACGTTATGTGTTTCCCTTTCAAATAATCGCCGTTGGAGGAAAAAAAGAAGCAATTAAGTAGTAACAAGCACACTGCCTTTGAGATGCATCTCTTTGTAAATCCCACCACCAGGCTGGGAAACCTAGGGGCACAGCAGATTTACTGGCTTGAAGATCACTTAATAAAAAACATAGTGGCTTCTTGTAATTGAAAGTACAATCAAAATGGGCCCAACGGGCAATGAAGCGAATATGTCACAGAACTGAAAAGAAGCAAACTTTGATATTAAATCTTTGAAAGTAGAGAAATAGACTATTAGAAACACTTGTGGTTGCTTGTTGCGTAATTACTCCTTCAGTAATTAAGGTCATTAGCTTATTGATTCCGTTATCATATGTTGTAAAAGGTAATTTACAACCGTTTCAATTGCTTTGCGCACTAGTACACACTGAAAATTACTGCCACCTTCACTGCATCATTACAAAGCAGAACATTATGACACGTTTTGACTGTAAATCTAGTTCTTGCATCAATATATACCCAAGCAGAAAATCAACAAAGCCCGTATTCGTGTTGAAATGCAGTGGCTGGCTCTTTGTGCACTTCTTAAAGGATGAAGTGTCTCTTCGGTGGCCGACAAAGACTGAATCGCAGCGACTGAATGCCAAGCCTCTCCTTCAAAGCGTTACAAGAGCATCGTCACCTAAAAGTGCTGCTCACTGCTTGATTGTTAATTACTGTTATTAGTATTATTACTTTATTCTTTGAAAGCCCGTCATTGAAGGTTACAGTCATTTGCATCACAGTTTGGCTTAGAATAACATTCGCTCCACAGCTTTTTGCTGATGTGCCAAGAAATTCAAGACATTGCGCTTGAGTGATTAATGAACAATGGGAAAACTTCCAGAGAACAACAGTAATTATAATGAAAATGTGACATGCACTTTATGTATCTGTTGAACTGTAAGACAATTAACCTTCAATTAAATATTTAGCATCAAATATCTTTGGACATTCCGCTGAAATATATTAAATAAAATGAAACTGCTTCTCTAACAACAAACTGCAAACATGCACACATGCCTTATGAGGCCATTCCTACTGTTATGTAAAAACATGAAGCTGGTATATCCGGTTATCAGGTGTCCCGCACAAATCTCTCAGCCTCACCTGTGTACCTCATTCAAAACTGGCTTTGTTACATTTCTATTCTAATAATCAGGGCTCTGACTCCTCCCACCAAAACCAGCAGAGCTTTTTGTTTAATATGTGTTTCCTTGACCTGGTTTCTGTGTGCCAAGAAGAAATGTCGAAGGGCAGCATCTTCATTTCCTGAGACTGGAAAACAAAATGACAGCAGCTAATTCCAGTGTACAGGATTCTTTCAGAGATGGCAGCCTGGAGAGATTTACTCATTTTAAAAAAGATGAGTTTGAAAGTGACTGGGAGAAACTGGCTGAGCGCAAGTTTGGTCGTGTCTATAAGGTGAAGGTTAAAGTCTGGCGGGAAACATGTGCCCTAAAGACAACGACCAATGATTACAGGTACAAGTATGCAAGAAAGTAGAAGATTAAAACTATGTTACTGTTAAAACTATGAGATTGAAAGCAGTTGGTAGTTGTTAAAATGTATTATATCTGACTTATTGAAAGTTAACTAAAATAAATATGAAAAATATACTGTGTATTATGTTTGTATTTTTTTATTCTGTATATTTTGTGTGTATATAGTGTGTTTGTGTGTGTGTGTATGATTTTATACATACTATAATTTTATATATACTATGATTTTATATTTTGTGGCTCAGGAATATGACACAGATGTCCAAAATCGGAAGACTCAAGTTCAATTATTTAATCTCCATTTATGGAATAAGCAAAGATCCACCTGGTTTAGTGATGGAATATATGAGAAAGGGATCCTTGGACAACCTCCTCAGCAGTCATTTCTTAATGTGGCCTAAGAAGTTCCAAATGATCCACGAGATGACGATGGGCATGAATTTTCTGCACAGCATGAAACCACCCATTCTTCATCTGAACTTGAAACCAGCCAACATTCTTCTTGATGATCATCTGCACGTGAAGGTGAGTCAGATACTACTGAAAATGATTCTGAATTTATTTCTGGTAAAAATAAACTCCAAAAAGACTTTACAAGAAAGAAAAAGTGGTTTTGGAAACCCTTATAATACAGTTGTATAAGTTGCGCTTTTATCAGTCTTGAATGTTACTTTCTACATACAGTATATGCCTTGTTTAGTTTAAATATACAACCTCACAGTATTGTCGCAGTTTCAGACTTATTTTATCTATAAAGATTTCAGATTTTGGCCTCATTAAATGGGAGGAGTTTTCTGGTAAGACAGAGTTTATTGAACACCTGACAGCTCGAGGGAACATAAACTATGTGCCTCCAGAGACCTTTACCCAGAATCCTGAACCACCTGGAACAAAGTATGATGTTTACAGGTGAGAGTTCATAACTTAAAGAACTTTACAGTATGTGCAGAAATTGACATTTTGACAGTGAGTTATGATATGCCATGAAGTAAACATCTAAACATTCTCACTTTGCAGCATTTCTATTATTATGTGGGAAATTCTAACTCAGCAGCGTGCATATCAAGGTATATATTGTTCCTAATTTTGGCACTTTCCACAGATTTTTACACAAATTGTAGTTTTGCAATCATTAGATTATTATTATTTATTTAAAAAATTTTTTAGGTTAAATGTGCAAAAATTATTTCTTATATATACTGTGTGTATATATATATATATATATTTATTTATTTATTGATAAGTTTTGTATATTTAATTTAGATTTTTTTTATAGTTAAAAAACTAACTTTTAAACTATATTTAAACATCCTGCATTTTGGTAATAAATGTTGACTGCAAAAACAACAAAAAACAAAACATACATATACATATAAAAGTATACATAAAACGAACATATGAAAGAATACAGAACAAAACAGCTTATAATATTCCTTTTTAACCACCTAAAGGTTACCAGTCAACATTTCCGAACCATCTTCCACTCACTGTTTATTGAAGAAAATTAGTTCATAGCGAGTTCCTTTTCCTCTCTGTTTGTTTTGAGAGTGCTAGAAGCACAAGTGTTTGTTTACAAGTGCATTATTTGTAGTTTGTATAGTACAAAAATAACACTCCAAGCAATTTGTTCTATTCTCCTTGTCACAGGTCTGAATATGACAGAAATATTAATCAGAGTGTCATCTGGCAAAAGGCCTGGTGTAGAGAAGATCCCTGAAGACAAGCCCCCTGAGTGCGAGGACATGATTGGTGTCATGCAGCAATGTTGGCACCAAGACTGCAGCCGGAGACCGGCTTTCTCTGGTAACAAACCTAATTTTTGTTCTTGTTTCTGTTTAATGAAGACTATTATAGGGCTTGATTATATACAGACAAAATGCATTCGAAAAGTCCCAGCAGACGTTTACTCTTCTGAAATAGCAATGAGCAACGAACCAACATTGTTGCATCTTTTATCAGCCTCCCAGTTCCTCTGTGACTGTTTCTTCCTCAGGTCACCTTCAGTAAAAGTTCTAATTAAATTATTTGATTTAGTGACTGCGATAATGAATTTTAATATTCACTGTTTGTGTTCAAGCATTAAAGTAGTTTAATAAGCTTCTGCTAATTCTATTGCAGTGTCGTATTGTATAATGAGTCGAATACAATTAATCTCGTACATCAGATTGCTAAAAATGCAGTGTGATTAGCACAGTTATATCCCATGCGTTATGATTTTATCTCATACACTGCCCAATTAAGTTGCTCCTCTATTAAAGCGGCTAAAAGGCTGTCAATCATTGGCTGGCCGTTTGCACATTTTTATCCAAATGATCACTCTTGTTTAAGAAGGCCTGATAAAGAGCTAGAGCAAAACTGCTCCCCAAAGTGACATTCAGCTGTATCATCTCCATTTCTCTGCAGAAACCGTTCGGTTGACTGAAGTCCTTAGTGAAGTCCTAAAAATCCCAGACACGAATGCAAGGTGTGAGATAAGAAAGCGTCTACCTGAACAGGTATGGAATGTAAGTGACTCTTCCAGTGCATGTTTAGACACAGTACACTGTCAGCACATAAGGTGTTAATTTGAGTAATACTCAGGGATCTGTGAACACATTCCACTATTTTCTCCTCTAACTTTGGAAAGGAAAGATTCGAACATGGTAAAATACTCAATGCACAAAACAATTTATACCAAACTGTTTTTTTCTAGACTAAAGAGTAATTCATCTTTTTTAAATTTCATAAACACTTGAAATTGTACCACCCTGTTGAAAAAAACAGCATATGCTGGTTAGGTATGTTTTGAAGCATGACTGCTAGTTTGAGCTGGTTTAAGCTGGTAATGTGCTGGTCCTAAGCAAATAGCTCCTGCTCAGGACCAGCTTAAAACAGCTCAAACTAGCAGTCATGCTTCAACCTAACCAGCATATGCTGTTTTTTCAGCCCCGTTCAGATTAATAGACCAAGAAAAATAGATTGCGGCTTAGCTTGGTCCAGTATTTATACATGTTAGTCGGACTACAATTGGCGGCAATGTTGAACACTTGCTTGATGATGCGCAACATGTTTTTAAACATGAAGATTAGCTTGACTATCAAGACTACAGCTTAAAACCTGCTTTCTATGGTAACAAAACTCATTTTTGTTCATGTTTCTGTTTAATGAAGACTACAATATGGCTCAATTATAAGCACTTTAGTCTGACTGAAGGTGTGATGCAATTGACCATTCACAAAGAGCTTGGTTGACAGGTGATCTGACCAATCATAACGCTGAATCCGGCATCTTGCCCGACAAACAAATCATACAGGAGAGTAGATTAACTTTAATTGTGTGTAATAACGTCTTTCCGCGGTTGAAATAAAACACGTTCTGATGTTCATTCATGTTTATTTTGTGCTTTAAGTAAATATGAAAAGCCGATCGGAGGCAATACAGTGATCTATCACGACACATTAAAGAGCCACAAAACGGTATTTATTGATTGAATTTCTTTAAAAAAAGACAAAATTTGAAAGCTTAGACCTTGTTTCATACCAGAAGTAACCTGCTCTGTCTTATCTGTCGGTGTGTTGTCAGTTTCCTCTTTGCTCAACAATGTATTTTTACTGTGTGAGAACATGGTGTGTGGCGTGAGATCGGCATTGCTTGTCGGACATAACAAGAGTAATTAAGGAGGGCGGGTTTTTGCGAACGGTCAATTGCAGCACGACTCTTCAGTTGGCTTCAGGAGGCATTTACACATCACTGTTTTCAGCTAAAAATGGAGAACTTTTTATGTGTTATGTCCTTTCATTTACACAACAACAGTATTTTTGGGGGCCTGAAAATGCAAACTTTTGAAAACAGGTTTCGAAAGTGCAAGTTTTTGAAAACAATGCTCTTATCATCTCTGTGTAGCAAGTTTGTGAAAACCATGACAGTGAACAAAAAATGCACACAAACTTTTTAAAATCCATGACAGTAATTAATGTCAGCAAAATGTGTTATTAGTCACAAAATAGAAATAACATTTTGGTTTCTCTCCATTAGCCAAAGAAAGCAGCTGACTCCTCAGGCAAGTATTTTGTCCAAGTCCTCGCAATTCAACCTCTTTTTGTTTTGTCTGTACAAACTCTCCACACTCTTACTTTATATAAAACATATATAAATAATTGGAGTATCCATCCAATTTTCTTCCCCACAGATGATTCTAGCATTCACTCTCTCCTTGTAAAGAAAGACTTTGAGAGCTTTAAGAAAGTTCTGCGAAAAGAGCACGTGTCTATGGTCTTCCGAGACAACAACTCTCTCCTTCATCACGCCGTGGCAAGCGGGGAAACAGAAAGCGTGCAGATGGTCCTGAATCTGGGAGCCTCGGTGAACTGCCAGAGTGAAAAAGGCTACACCCCACTCATCGTCGCAGTTCTGCACAAGTTTTACGAGATTTGCAGCTTGCTGACAGACTGTGGGGCTGACGTCAATCTCAGCGATGGCGACCAGTGGACCGCGCTGCATTTTGCCGTACAGGCTGGCGACGACAGAGCCGTTCGCCTTTTGTTAGACAATAAGGCGAGAGCCGATGCCAAGGAGAAGGACGGGTGGACGCCTTTGCATCTCGCTGCTCAGAACGGCCATGAGCACATCGTGAGAATCCTGCTCCGGCGTCTGGATGCCGTGGATGAGCAGGAGTGCCAGTCTGGCCGTACGCCGCTTCATGTGGCTTCCATTTACGGTCACGTGAACATCGTCAACCTCTTGCTCAAAAACGGAGCTGACGTTAACAAACCAGATAACCTTCAATCCACTTCCCTACACTTGGCGGCAGACGAGGGGCACTTCAGGGTGGTCCGTTTGCTGGTTAATAATGGGGCTGATGTGAAAACAGTCGATGAGCAAAGCTACAGTCCCCTACATTTTGCCGCTCTAAAGGGTTACACAGGTATCTGCAGACTCCTGTTGAGTAAAGGAGTCGACCCCGATATCAGAACCTATCAGAATTGGACAGCCATGCACCTTGCAGCCCTAAAAGGCCATCCAGAGACTGTCCTCATGTTGGAGGAGCACCATGGCTCAGTCAGCGTCCAAGGGAAAGACGGCTGGACTCCTCTGCACCTTGCTTGCCATCATGGGCAGGAGGAGGTGGTGACGGTGCTGCTAACAGCAGGTGCCGACCCAAACCTGGCCGAGGATAATGGCTGGACACCCCTTCACTTAGCCTGTAACAGTAGCTGCTTCCCTAGCGTTCTGCAGCTGATATCTCACCAAGCCAATGTGAACGCCCAAAATAACAGCCAGTCAACGCCATTGCATTTAGCCGTCCAGCTCAGCAGCATCCCAATCATCAAAGCCCTGCTGATGAATAATGCACAGCGGGATATGCAGGACTCGAAAGGATATACCACCTTAACCTTGGCTCAACGGTGCAACAATACAGAAGCCGTGGAGCTACTGAACAGCTAGCACACCGGTGGAGATCCTGGCGGAAAGCGAGCCATGTTTGGTGACAACTCCACCATTAGAGGGAGTGCAGCATTGATTTCTGCTATCGATTTCCTTCCTCCTGCAAAGCCTGTTCTTATAAACAGTCTTGCTGTTGTTTGTGATTTAGATTCCTAGAATTGAACACCTTTGTTTGGGTTTGGTTAAGAGCTCAGGTGTGTTCTCAGAATGGAAGTGTTATGAATGAAGGATTTTATGACTAGCAGTATGTAGTGGAAGTCAGCATAAAATTGAAATGAAGTTAGTTTATTTATTAACTATTAATTATCTTGAATAATTTATCATAGCATGTTATTCCTAAGAAGACAATTGTTTGTTTTTGTAATATTTAATAAAAAAATAATGAAATAATGAAACGACTTTCTATATCTGTTTAGTCACTTAGGTCGCACAGGCATTTAAAAACACATCATATTAGAGGAGTACAATAACCTATTAATGGTAATTCATGTTGACAAAATTGCCATGATACCTAATCATGTATTTAACATGATTCAATACATTCATACTTTGATGAATTCCACTACTGTCAGACATGCACATGCCATGGTGAAAAAATTATAACCATTCATGGCATTCAAATGGCATGTAACTTTCACAAACAAAAGCCAATAAACCTGTTTGACAACATGCTTATCGCTTCCCAGCAGACTTCCGCTCACGTTTGACAGCTCTGTCCTAAACACAAAGGGCAAAAAAAAAAAACTATAAAATGAATGCGATTACAGTTATATTTATTTTGTAATTAAATTACGTAACGCCGTTACATGTAACTAGTTACTCCCCAACACTGGTGGAGGACGGTCCAGTGGGCAGCAGGAGCACTCTTATTAACACATCAGAAAAACAAACACAGCACCTGCCTGTGGCTCAGCTGGCCCCCCTCTCTCTCTCTATCTACTTGCATGCACAACTCATTCTCAGCCCAACATCTCCAGCCCAGAGATTTAAGTCCCAAAGTCTTTAAGGAAAACAGGATACTGTGTTTTGAGGAGACAAAAACATGCTGTACATGCTTGAATAAGTAAAGTGAATGAGTAAATTTGAAATTTTCATCTGTTTTAAACTCAAATAGCATCAAATGATTCGTAAATGATACCCTTCCTCCCTTGTTACGTTCTGTCACCTGTCACATCTCCAAAATGACTTAATATCCCACTCACGGGACCCCTTTCAGGTTCTGTTAAGTGCCGACAGCAATCAAGGGCTGTTGAACGCCGTGTCTGACGATGAAACCTCCCGTAGCATCTGTCCTTCTGTTGACTCGCAAGAAAAATAACCTTGATTGCTGGGTATCAAAGGAGCAATTGAGTTAATTAGAAACTGTCCCAAGTTCATGACGTTTCTTACACGCAATGTCATACTTTGCATTCAGGAATTTTTAGTGCAAATTACCAGGCTGCTCTATGTTGTTAGCGGCCATGCTAACAAGTTATTTTTAACAGGTAATTTAGTCGGCTAATGAAGCTTGAAGAACTTGAAGTTCTTAATCTGTTTCTATTGAAAAGCCAAGTGCAAAGTTTACTTTGCTCAAGTGTCTCTCATTTTTTTAGGGCAAAATCATTATCCACATGCAGCACTTTCACATCCACCCGCATTTGTGATTGCAATGCAGACAAGTGGTGAAAAATGTTCTTGACAGATTTGATTAACAAATGTGAAATAAATGAGTAGTGCCCTACACATCCCTGGTGTTGAGGGTTGAACACCACAGGTTTAATCTAATCTTAAGGCTGTCACTGCCTGGCCCTGAGAGTTTTGACAGTGATCTGTGCTTCACAATCAACACAGGCTGATGATTTATAATGTGTCACTTTACCTTACACACTGTAATTTCATTTGTGATGCATTTATATATATATATATATATATATATATATATATGATTATTTGTCTAAAAATCCCTGTGTTCATCTGAAGAAAAAGTTATATTCATTTATGACTGAGGAATTTTTTGGGTGAACTATCCCTTAAAGATTTTTTCCAGGGATTTTGAACTCTTATATGGATTCTGAAAACAAAAACTACATCTAAACTACACAACCATTGTGTAGCCAAGAGTTTAGCAGTGTGTGTGCAGGAGTTTGTAGTTATGCGTAGCCAGCAAAAAGCAGTGTGTTGATCATCAGCTGTGTCCACAGATGGTTGCCATGGGGCTAAAGTCATTGTGTTGTCCACAGAACATGCATTCATAACAAACGCTCTGTGCCACATCAGTTGAATCAGCCCTCAGGCCATGGACTGATAACTCTTTTATGGCTCCAGTGTTCTTTTGCTCCATGAAGTTTGGAGGAAAGTCTGTTTCTATAGGTCTTTCAGAGTTTACAGTGATAAACCAAGAGATTGATTTCAGATAGCAGATTTTGTTGGGTTGTATCACTAAAAATATCTGTCATGATACGGCAAACCGTCAGTGCACAATTGCTTTATTCATAAGCTTATATCATTGTGCAACATACATCTTATGAGAACATGCATTACAATGCAACGGCAGGCCCATCACATTCAAAGTGTGTCATATAAAGCATGAAAAGCTACATATATAAACATAATAAATAGTAAAAAAAGCAAAATTTCAATTTACACTCATTACCACAGTTACTGTATGCAGTTCGTCCTTATCCTCCCCTTTCACTCCATCAGTATTATCTTTACCTCCTCAAGGCCAAAACAAAGAGCTGCAATGGTTAATGCTTCCACCAGGAAGGCTGACAAATGACGTTTTTTGTTTGAAAATCACAGCATTTTAGTGAAACTGTATTTGTTTTCTCTGCTTTTTTATGGTAAATCCACTTTACAGTAGACGTGGCACAAATGCTTTAATATTGGTACAAAAAAATTACAGCTGATTACAGATTTGCTGAATGTATTATTTAAGGTTTCTGCCTGCTGTTAGTTTTCTGAGAGAACATCTAACAAACATTATAAATGTGGGACATAACATTGCAGACATGAATGGCATAAATAAGCTTTTCAGCAAATAAATTACAACCTCCATGCAATGCATGGCCTATTGGTTACTACAAAGCATCTGTTTGTATCACAGTATGTACTACTATGATTTAAAACACTGTTTCCACCTAATTACATTTAGGTTTTGAGCAAATAATCAAAATAATATTATAATACTGACAAACAGATAAGCAAAGGCATTGCTTGAAGCAATTCCAAACAAGAGTTTTTGTCTGTGCTGAAAATATTGCTTTAAGCCCCATTTCCCCCAGGGATTTTATATGTGTTTTTCTTTTCTTTTCTGGGCGATATGATCTTGGAACAAAATAATGTTTATAATACAGACAATTTATATACATTCCTTTAGTTTTAATCTCTGTGAAATGCAAGAGATGTAGCCCCCAAGCCATAGTCCACTTGGGATCCAATTTAAAATCTTTATTTGAAGTTTTACAGTGTGTCCACTGCAGATGAGGTATCATTTGTATCCCTTCTGCTCCGGTGAAGTGAGTTCTCTTTCAACAGTGTAAAATCTTAATGAAAGCTTTGCGAAACTCAATGTTGAAAGTGGTGTATATGATGGGATTTACGGCACTGTTCACGTAGCCCAGCCACGTAAAGGCAGTGTAGAGTTCAGGAGGGACTTGGCAGTAGGTGTTCACAATGTGCGTGATGAAGAACGGCAGCCAGCAGATGATAAATACACCTGAAAATAAAGCACACAGAGGTAATAATTCAGTTTGGGTGGGAAATGTTAAGAAACTTGAAAACCTATATAAAATATTTCGTTCAGGGGTAATAAATCTGCAAAAATGTCAACAATTCTGTGTTTTTCTGTCAATATGGGGTGCTGTGTGTACATTAATGAGGAAAAAAAATTAACTTAAATGATTTTAGCAAATGGCTGCAATATAACAAAGAGTGAAAAATGTAAGGGGGTCTGAATACTTTCCGTACCCACTGTATGTACATAATGACCAATATTCAGTTAAATGAAATCAAACAGTATTGTTAAAGCTGAAGTGGGTAATTTTCACACCATTAGCATCACCAAATGAAACTGCAAAAATCAAACACAATAAGCTGTATGCTGTATGCTATTGGTTGGACAAACAGATAGTCCTGCCCCGAAAGTCACACCATTGGCTGTACCAGTGTTGCTGTTGTCAGGCCGGTTTTTGGGGTCGCTAAGTCTAGAGTCTTCCCTCAAAATTGGGCTACTTTTCAACTGTTGCTGTGGGATACTGTTTTTTCTCTGCTGGTTAAAGGTTTGACAGATTATTTAACTGTGCTAGAGCTTAACTTGAGGTTAGGGAACTTGAGGTCCTTTACAAAGACTAACTGTGTGATCTACAAATGCATAACAGTGACTGTAAAATATACATTTTAGGTATGGGAGTAGCATATGTTGAGTTTTGATATTTGGGCTAGGGTCATTGACCTAGTTTTGGGCTATTTCTGATTGGCCATTGGACTAGTTTTGTTACGCAGATCTGGCAACCCTGCTGGTTGTGATGATGAAATACAAAGCAATGTTTTGAAAGTGCCACAGTGTTTACAAATCAACCAAAAATGTTTAACTTCAAGTATTTTAACGTAAAAAAAAATCACATACTTCACCATTAAAGTACTTTAAAGCAACACTTACCAAGGACAATAGCTAACATTTGAGTAGCCTTCTTCTCCTTCTGCTGGGAGATTTTGCGTTTGTTAAGAGTCTTGACCGATGTCTGTGTTTTGCCGGTGGGGGAGACCTGGATCTCAAATGCTTTGGCCCCTTTTGTGATATTGCTGGTGTTGCCATTTCTTTCAGGTTTGACACCAGCTTCAGGCGATGGGGGTGATATGTCAGTCTCTCTTAGATTAGCGTTAACCAGCCTGCTGTGTTGTTGACTTGTACCAGACTGATCCTGCTTCCTCTGTCTCGCAGGGTTTAAGTTTGTCATTTCATCCATTTGTATGTCATCGCCATTGTTCACCACCTCCTTTATGAAGATCTAACAAAAAAGATGAAAAATAAGTCATTTTGGTTAAAATTAGTGCTGAAGTGCTCAGGCTTTGATAATGAAATGAATTGGTTCACTTTATCAAACAAACAGCCCATTTAATAACAGAACAGTGTATTGTTTCAGTCAACATAACTTTATATGAAGTCTACACTGGATGCAGAGACTAACATTTAATATTTGCTGACACACTGTCATTTCTCAAATGTCATCTGTCGTTATTGCTTCTGGTACATATGACAAGCGGTTAGAAGCTCAAGAATCCTGTCAAGAGCAATATTTGGAAAGAAAAGGTGAATCTGGCTGTACCATGTTTTTGTTGTTCACAGGAAAATTCCCACTGGACTTGACGATCACAGTGCAGAGTTTCACATCA